CCCCAGGGTGGCTGTGGCTACAATGTAGCTTGCCATCACCAGTGTGTGAATGCGTGTGTGAATGGGTGGATGACTGGATGTGTAAAGCGCTTTGGGGTCCTTAGGGACTAATAAAAGCGCTATACAAATGCAGGCCATTTACCATTTACCAATAGATCTTTGGGTGTCAGTTATCTTTTAATACCCCCTGTTAACCTTTTTCTTCATTTTGTTTTTCTTCTATGACCTCCAAAGGCTGTTAATCATTCACCTATCAGTGTAATTACACAAACTTCCGAAGCATGTCTGAAAGGACCATGAATGAGGAGTTTGAGCATTATTCTTGAATTGTGTCTCCTCTAAATCTGAGTTCATCCAGAGTAACTCAAAGCTCCTGCTGCTTTGTCTCCATCAGAAGGAGAAGCCTTGCTGCCACTGATGACTAACGATTCATGCTAGTAAGAACAATACCACAATCCCAGCGCTGGCGCACCTAAATGCAGCTATTTTTAATGTTGTTGGTTACATAAGGGGACATTTTGGAAAGTAACTTTCAAATCGTTTAGAAATCGCTTTAGAAAGTGACTGATGTCCTACTTCTGAACATTTCATTTGGGCCTCAGTGAATTATTACTTGAAACCATCTCATTTCAAGCATTGTTATTACATGAAAACAAAAACAATGATGCGCCAAAGTAGCAGTTAGCTGTAGCGATAAAGGGACCAGATAACCACAGGTGAAGTGGAGCCTCTTGTCAGATCAGGTGGGTGTTTCGTATAGTGTTCAACAACTGCTCACCAATAATTACTTGTACAGTGTAAAAGAGGAAAACAATAAAAACAGATTTTATTTTATTTATTTCAATGTTGACTAATGGTGATAGTGTAACAATACTCACTGGAGCGTGAGAGGAGCCTCTGAAAGCAAGACACAAGCTAAATTGGCCTGCTCAAATGCAGTTCTTAAGAAATGTAATTTCCTGAGACCCTTTGGTTAATAAATAAAGGATATTAAAGCTGTTTACAGAGTATTAGCAATATTAAACTGAATGCCATGCTCAACAAAACAAGCTTTAACGGCTGATTAAATAAAAATGTTGCATTATGAAAAAACAAAAGGTTGTCTGCATTTTCTGTCTATATCTCCACTGTATGTGTCTGATTATGATGTTTACTTCATCATCATCATCATTTATTATAAAGCACTTTAAAAACAACCACAGCTGACACAAAGTGCTGTACATTAGATCTAAAAGATAGATAGATAGATAGATAGATAGATAGATAGATAGATAGATAGATAGATAGATAGATAGATAGATAGATAGATAGCAGAAGGTGGCCATGTGTCCCTTTGAGTTTTCAAATTCATTTGAAAATACTGTTGTATAGCTCCAGTAGGTAGAATATAAGATCCCGTTTCAAATAGACATCTAATATTTTCTCAGTTTTGCAGGATTATTTGCGAGGATAGAATTTTGATCCAATATCACAACAATAATCAGTCAAACAACAAGATCCTGCATACAAATCCATATGCTGCTAGAAACATGGAATGTGGACATTAGAGCTTGCAGATGTAGTTGTGTTAAAAACAAACAAACAAAAAAAACA